AAGTCCCTCATATAATTGGCATAGAACAATGCATAGTCAGCCCTTCGCATCCACAGATTCGCATCCACGGATTCCCAACTGTGGATCAAAAATACTGTTTTCAGTCTGTGGTTGGTTGAGTCTGCAGATGTGAAATCCCGGGATAGAGGGCCAATTGTATATTTATGTTAAAAAACCCAAGTGTAAGTGGACAAGTGCAGGTCAAACCCATGTTGTTCAAGGGTCAACTGTACTATGCTCCACTCTCATCCCTCCAGACCCAACTCCATCCCTCCACCGCCAGTGCATACCCGCCCTGCCGCAGCGAGGACATCTTGCCCTGATCAGCTCTCTCCTGCAAGCGGCAGTAGCTCCCGGGTCTCTCTCCTCAACCGCTCCCAAACATGCAAGACAGTCTCATTGCAGCCTCTTCTGACAACCGCTGCCCACAGGACAAAGTATAGCCCATGAGCACAGCACACCATGGCTCTCCCTAAGCTGCCCCCAACCAGCCCCAGCCTCATCTCTACCACACCCAACACATTCTCAATCCTGCAGTGACCCCCTGTGCCTCAGCCAGGGTACAGGCAAGTTCCCCAGTCATTCAAGGCCCAGCTCACAGCTCGCCTCTCCTAGCTCTGTCCTCTCAATCCCCGTTAAACAGGGCTCATTACTTTGCACTCACCACTCTCAGTACAGACCTTTATCATAGTCCGTAACACATGGAATTATAATTACATGTTCCCAAATCTGTCACTTCCAAGGATCTGAGAATTCCTCTATGGCACAAATGACATCTTATTTATCTTTTAACCCTCAGTGGGCAAATGGGAGTGTTCAAACATATTTATGGAACAAATAAATGCCCCTCATTCCAAAGGGCTACCCAAAACAAGGCTAGTGGCCTAGATTGCTAACCAGTGACTCAAGCCTGCTCATCTGTGTACCTACACACGGAGAAGCAGGAGGTACTGGGGGCCCCAGTGCTGGGTGTGCTCAGCTCCTCCAGTTATCTGTGCAGCAGGCCCCTTTCTTAGGTTCACAGGAAAGAGAGAGCCCCAGATGGATGGGGGAGCTTAGCGGGGCTGGTCTGAAACCCACACATCAGGGAAAGCCTGGGGTGCTGAGGAAACACTAAGAGGTCCAACTTCCCCTGGAAAAACTGCAGTCAGACAGGAAACACACAGGCAGGGATGGCTGGCTCTGAAGATCCGGACACGTGCTCTTGCCCCTTTCCCACTGGGGGCAGCCAGCCAGTACAAAGGAAACCCCTGATGACACCCGGCCTGCTGCCCTTAGGCACCTTGGGCCTAACCCTCAGAACAGGACTCATGGTCTGTGTCCTCGCCAGTCTGACAGCCACAGGGGTACAGCCCCAGACAGCTCTCCTAACAGCACTTCTTCTGAGCCTGACGGCCTGTCCAGGAAATCTGCTTTTTTCTGCCACTCCCATACCCCTTGTCATTAAGGGTACCACTTGGAATTGTCATTGTCTGTTTTAGTTTCCCTGAAGGCAACAATCTGTTTTCATTTACCACCTAAGGAGGCCTAGCATCTAGAAGAGTATCCACAGAAGAAACAAAGACGAAAGTCTCGGGCTCCAAAATCCCCACAGATGTGCTTGGCTGTCATGCAGAGCCCCCCGTGAAGCATCTACCTGGGCCACCTACCAACGATGACCCTTAACGGAACCATCTTACCCTAGAAGGCACCAGAAGGAAACACGTGGTGCCAGAGCCTAGAGAGGCTGAGGTTGTCTGTAACGTACGCTCAGAGCACAAGGGTTTCTCCTTGGAAAAGCAACACAGGTCACAGGGAGACAGTCACGGCTCAGTCACAGTACAACTCCGGGCTTAGAGCCTCTTGGGATTGGCCAGCCAGCCACTGACTGGAGAGCTGGGTCCAGCTGAGGCTGTCCCACACCAGCACTATCATCTGTTGCATAACTCACTCCCTGTATTTCTATTTCCTCATCTATAAAATGGGATGGTACTCTAGATCATCCCCTCAGGGCCCTTGTGAGGATTAGCCAAGAAAACATGATGAAAGCCTCTGTAGCACTGAGCAGGAAGTCTGTAATTGCTTTGTATTCACTTATTTTAGTAGCAGGAAAAAAAAAAAAAAAAAAAGGCCAAACATCACCCTGGTCCCTGTCATACCAATGTGACAACTGGCACCAAAGCACTTCCCCACCTCTCTTTTGAGCCAAACTATGACTCTAGCAATCAGCAGATGCCAGCCCCACTTCACAAGTGGTAAAGTGAGAGGGCAAAGCCAGGCCAGAACGGGTCTTACACAATAGTGCTGTGCACTTTCCCTGAACAACACCAGCTCTCCCTCAGGGCTGCGGACACCCTGAGGGTAGCAGAAGTGTCTCTCTCTCTCTGGCCAGGCTACAGGCTCTGTATGGTACCCTGGCAGGGCCAGAAGGAAAAGGCCAGACACCTGAGGCACCTGGGCAAGAGGCCAGGTGGCAAAGGACCCAGCTGGCAGCCCAACCTTCCTCACACACAGCCTGCAGAGCAGGGCTGCAGGGATAACTCACCAACAAGGTATACCCATGAATGGGAAGAAGTGGACCAGCTTCAGTGGGGGACTCCATTTGCACAATCTGAACCCCCACAAGCATCCACTAGCCTTTTTACCCAGACTCCTTCAATCTGGGCCTCCAAAATCAAAGGACGAGAGCCCCTTCTATACCTTTTATCTATGTTCCAGGCCTTTCAAATCTCAGCTACCTAGTAAGATCACTGAATATGCACCATTCTGGCTAACTCATTCTTGGGGGTTGGGGTCATCAGATCCTCTGCATTCCTTCCTCCATCCCCCAAAGACCTGAAACACTGTGGACAGACTTTCCCTCCACACTCCTTCCTTCAGTCAAGCCCCAACTTCCAAACAAGAAAGTCAGGCATCAGATGCGCAAATCTCCATATACTTATTTCATACACTATTCTACATGGTAGGTGGTGGGGTAAGTAGATGGGTTGGGGGAAAAAAAAAACAAACCATTTCCTCTCCTTTTCTGGGTAGCAATCTAAGTCAAAAGTGAAGTCGGTTCTCATCCTTCTCCCTTCCTGCACCCTCGCACGCTCCTACAGCCACCCTCTACCTCCACAACAGTCACAGTCTAAGAGGGCAGTCACAATCTATATTATTAATAACAGCTAACATTTATTAAACATTTATAATGTGTCAAGCACTGCGATAAAAGTTTTACATCATTTAAATGTTTACATTCAAATTTTCTCATTTGAAACTGAGTAACCATATATAGTGGATACAGCATTCCCATTTTACAGATAAGGAAAAAGGCTCAGAGAAGGTAAGTAAGTGACTGGGGGACACACAACACACAGGCTTCAAATCCAGCCTGCCTTCAACCACTATGCTGCACTTACTGTCTATTGGTCACATGCATGGTTTGAAATGTAGCCTGTTACTCAGGAGATCTCTATCTGGGAACCTCCAGCCAGTGCCACCAAATCAGCAGGGCATAGGGAACACCCAGAAGCCATGAAGAGGCTGTGCCTGGACTCTGATACCTGGGTGATGTTCCCAGGACTACCTCAGCTTTCTGTAGTGTCTGTCCTGCCTCCCCTTTGGAATCCAGTCTCTCAAATCACTAACATTTTCTCCCAATGGCTGACAGGGCCCATGGGGGCATGGAGGAAGGCAGATGCCATTTCTAAGTTCAGTGGCTATGCCAGATCTGGAGTTTGTAGTTGAGGATGGCTGCCTCACCACAAGATCTTCTTTCCTCACAATCTCCTCACTTATCTACGCACATGTACAACATGCCCAAGGAAGCCATGGGACCTTCCCTTGGGGTGTCACTTCCTGACTGCCTTCCTCCACATAGACCTAGTTCTGAGCCCGGCTCTAACACCTGTCTCGGGGGGGGGGGGGGTTTTGTCTTTGCAGGAAGCAACCCACAGCCTGGGGTTGAGAAACATCATCTCACCCTTGCAGGCAGGAGAATGGAGGACAGAGCTAGGTGTCCATCCGGCCACAGCACAGGCACATGCTAAGTGGAAGAACACTGACAGATCTGGGGTTTTCAACTCCCAACTCCCTCCTCCCAACTGAACCCTAAACAAAAAGCAGCGAGGCTCAGGCTGGGAGGGCAAAGAGGCAGGAAATCAAGAGTAGTTGCTTGCGGTTCCCTGCAGCCACAGGACGCAAGACACAAAGGGCTAGATCCCAAACTGGCTGTCCACTCATAAAGAGTGCCTTACTCCAAGGCACTGAGGCTGGCCTTTCTGGGGCCAAGTTTTTGAGAACGTGCTTCGAAAGGCAAGGGGAAACTGGCCCTTTCTCAAGAGCCCCTGCCCTGGCTTTGGGTGTCTGTCCACCCACACAGACCTCCAAAATTCAGCTTCAGGGCAAAAGCAGCAGTGGGAAAAAGCAGCCACTGCTCTCAGGCTTTTTCAAAACAAACAGGACCACCTTCCTCCTCCCCAAGAGAGAGATGAGTAGGCCCGGCTCTGCTCCAAAACCAGCCCTACCCCAACATCTGCCTAGGTTCTACTCAAAGAACCCAAAGATTCCTTTGCAAGTAAGAGTCCAGCCTCAGTGCCCAAAGAGTTTCACCAAAACTGCTCTTTTTGGAAAAAAGGTTGTGGGCGGCGACCATCTAGTCTGGCCCCAGGTTCAGGGGCTGGGTAGGGGGCGCTGCTTTGGCGCCCCTCTCCTCCGCGGACACCACTCCCGGGGTGTGGGGGATCCAATGACTACCCCGCTGGTCTCCAATCCGCTAGGATTTTTAGGCCTCTGGGCAAAGCGCCAGAACACTCCCCCCAGCTGGGGGAGGGGGTGTTCTGTCAGGTGACTGAGAACCCGGATGCCCCCCGCCCCCGGTGACCACCCGGGCCAAGGCGGGGGCGGGGCCCGGAGGGTGTGGGGAGGGCCGGAAAGTTTGCCCAAGTCGCTCCGCCTGCGGGCCAGGGCGCGCGGGAGCGAGGCGCGGATCCCCGCCGCCCCCGTGCGTGCAGCGGGCCCCGCGGAGGGGGCGCACTTACTGGCCCCTTCAATCTTGTCGGCGCCACGGCTCCACGTGATCTGCCGCGTCTCCAGCTTGACCTGGAAGGTCTTCCGTTCGGGCCGCTGCGACTTCTTGGAGTAGAACAAAGTCATGACGGTGCC